TGAGAAACAAATAGCAATGAGACAGTTTCAAACCAATTTGGGAGGACAGTTTCAATAATTAACACATTGCATACATTCTTCCTAGTGGTTAATTGCTGTACAAGATGAGGACTTGATATCCTATTTACAAACACCATTAGAACAAATCCCTCTATTCATTAAGAGGATGCCAACTATATATCTATCCTAACCACTCTGAATACACAGAAACAAAATGGACATTCATCTGTATCCCCTTTTGTCTGAGTACTTATTAGTTAAACAATTTTTTTCAAAATTTGTGGGCTGTCTTTTCACCTTGGTGATTCCTTTTGATGTTCAAAAACTTCTCAATAAAAGAACGTCCCAGGTGTTAATCATTTCAAGTAATTCCTGTTACATTTGATATTTTTCATGAACGCTTTGCCTACCCCTATGTTTTCATGACTCCCTCTGACTTTCTTTTCCAGGAGATTTAGTGTTTCTGTTTTAATGCTTACATCTTTGATCCATTTTCACTTTAGTTTAGTGCCTGGTGATAGACATGGGTCAAATTTTAGTTTTCCACATGCAGAGAGCCAGTTTTCCCAACACCATTTGTGAAAGAGGCTATCTTTCTTCCAGTAAGCATGTTTGTCCCCTTTGTCAAAGATAAGGTGGTTGAGTGTGTTTGTAGTTCCATCTGCATTTTCTAATCTATTCCATTAATCCTCAGGTCTATTTTTGCCAATAGCATGCTGATTTTATCATAGTTGCTTTGTAGTATAATTCCTAGTAGGGAATCATAATGCCACCTGCCTTGCCTCTGTTGCCCAGAATTGCCTTTGCTATTCTAGGTCTTTTCTGGTTCCAAATAAATTTTAGAAAGGATTTCTCTAGGTCTGTGAGGTATGTTGTTGGTATTTTGATAGGGATTGCATTAAATCTGTATAACAATTTTGAGAGTATGGCCGTCTTCACAATGTTGGCTTTTCCTATCCAGGAGCAGGGAATATCTTTTCATTTTCTGAAATCCTCTATGATTCTCTTTTTTAAGAGTACTGTAATTTTCCTTGAAAAGATCTTTGACTTTAGTTAGATAAATTCCAAGGTATTTCATTTTCCTCGGTGCTATTGTAAAAGGTATTGTTTCTATAATTTCCCTCTCAGTGTGTTTGTTGTCTGTGTAGAGGAATGCTATTGACTTTTAGGTATTGACTTTGTATCTGCTATGCTACAGCATTTGTGTATCAGCTCTAGTAGCTTCTTGATGGAATCTTTTAGGTCATCCTAGTAGAATATCATGTCATCTGCAAATACTGATAGTTTAACTTCTTCTTTGCCTATTCTTATTCCTTTTATTTCTCTGTCTTGTCTAATGGCTCTAGGTAATGATTCCAGAACTATACTGAATAGGAGTGGTGATAGAGGACATCCTTGTCTTCTACCTGATCTGAGAGTAAAAGATATCAGTATTTCCCTATTTAGAATTATGTTACGTTTGGATTGTCATAGATGGCTCTTGTCAGATTGAGGTAGATCTCACATATTTCAATTTTCTGTAGGACTGTGAACATGAATGAGTATTGGACATTGTCAAAAAGCCTTTTCTGCATCGAGATGAGCATGTGATTTTTGGATTGGACTCTAGTGATATAGTGTATTACATTTATAGATTTGTGTATGTTGAAACATCCTTGCATCCCTGGGATGAATCCTACCTGGTCATGGTATATAATCTACTTGATGTTTTGTTTTATTCTATTGGCTAGGATTTATTGAGGATTTTTGCATCTCTGTTCATGAGGGAAACTGGCCAGCAGGTCTCTTTTTAGTTGCATCTTTCTTTTCTCTGCTTTTCATATCAGTATAATACTTACCTCCAGGAATGATTTTAGGAAGATTGTTTTCTTTTGAATTTCATTGAAGAGTTTGAGGACTATTGAGATTATAATGTCCATAAATTTCTTGTATAATTGAGCTATGAATCCGTCAGGCCAAGGACTTTTCTTTGTCACTAGGTTTTTTTTTAGGTATGAGCTTTTAGGTGGATAGAACTAGCACTTGCTGGGATATGAAGATAAAAAGAGAATATTTCAACTAGGCAAGAAAAAAATCAAGAGCTCAGTTTTGATGCTAAGTTTGAGAAATAAAAGAAACTTAAGATGTCAAGTGGGTTTTGGGGTTGGTAAATATGGAAGTTTCAGAAGATATGGACAGGCTTGAGGGGATTTTTGACATGTTTTGGCATAAAAAAAGATGCTGTCAAAGTTATGAGTGTTTACGAAGCTCCTGGAAAGACCGTAGAAAAGTTGGAAGAAGTTCAGAACTGAGCTCTGAGGAAAATCTAATATTTTACAAGTTAAAAAGAAGAAAAGGAACAAAGAATAATAAAATAGTGAAGAGGTAGAAAGCACACTAAGATTGCAACAGGAAGAATTCTAAGGAGGAAGGAGTGGTCACTGGAGTCAAATGTGGCAGAAAAGAGGAACAGAATCAACACTGAAGGTATTGTTGGGTTTAATGTCTCTAAAGTGTTTGGTGACTTCAGGCATTTTGAGCAAAGTATTTTTTGTCACTTGAGAAGGGATGACAGATTGTAGCAGATTGAAGTGTTGAAGGAACTTCAGAATATCAACTGTCTCAAAAGATTTGGCTATGTACAGAAAGAAAACAATAGGGAAGGAACTGGATGGTGACAGATAGAGAACAGCTTGAAAGAAATACTGGTGGAAGGAAATTTACTTAATACAGAAGACATTTGGATATAATTAACAGTAAGAAGAAAAGTGGTCCATGTAAAGGGAATAACTGAAAATAGAACAGAAGAATCTAGATCTCATTAATTGAATATTTGATCATTTTTCAGCAGTATCTGTCATCCTAATCACACTGAGATCACTTTAATTCAAACTTTCATCATTTCTTGCCTGTATTATCTTTATATATCTCCTCCAGCCATTCTTCTTTGAAACTATCTCCATATCAGCAGTTCACATAGAACTGTCCTGGGAGTCTCTGAGACCTTTTCCCAGTTTTATGAGGTCAAAATTATTTCCTTAGGAATAAGATGTCATCTGCCTGGTCATTGTGCTGACATTTTCATTGATGGTACAAAAGCAATGTCAAAGAAAACTACTGACACTTCAGCATGAATCCAAGTGATGAAACAAATTGCACTAATGATACTATTATCCATCAATTATTTACTACTACTAACTCTGATGTAAAATATACCCAGTTCATGTTAGAATATTTTTAACTAAGCATCAAATTTATTAATTTCGTTAAATGTTAACCTTGAGTATAAATTTCTGTGTAACAATGGGAAGTACTCACAAAACACCTCTGCTTCAAAATGTAGCCGCTTATTTCATAGCATTTTCCCTTTCCTGTAATTTGTCAAATGGTAAGTGCTATGACATTTTTGATGCGGAAACAGGCTTCAAAAGCTTCTGGCAAATGGCAACAGAATTTCTGTAAGGTAACCAAATGAAGCTAACCCTAAGGGATACTGCTTGTGCCAAAGCATTTTTCTGGTTAGGAAAGAAACAGGGGTCTAAACAATGTTGATGAAATTAACTTGATATCTGGAAATCTTTATTATCCTGTGGTAAAATGGAGAACTTTTAAAAAATGTTTAAAATATATTTAAAAATTGATTCACTTAAAGATAACATAATGAATCAATTATATATTATCAAACATACTTGCGTGGAAAATATCTATATTTTCCAAAACAAAACAGATAGTAGGAGGAATGATATAATTTTAGATTTAAAAAAATGTCTATTGTCTGATTTAATAGAAGACAACTGAAGCATTATAGTTGCTTTTTATTTAGTCTGTTATGGTCTGTAGTATGAGAATAATAAATTGAGTGTAATTCACTTTAATGGGGCAAACCTAAGCCAGCTCCTGTATTAAGGAATTGCAGCACAAGAGTTAAATAAAACTAAGTTCCTGCCCCTTAGAGACCTATACCCTCTTGAGAAAGACAGAAATGCAGATAATTAAAACATAGTATTAGCAACACTAGTGAAAGTATGAATGGGGAAGGAGTGACTAAGAAAGTGAAGAAAGCTTTCTTTAGGTGATATTTAAGCAAGATCATAAAATGAACAGATGATCTTCTATTAATAGAAAGTCATTGCAAGCCTGAAAGATCAATTATGCTAGCCATTTTAGTAGAAAAAATTGATCATGCTGGTTATTCATCTTGGCGCCAGACACATCCTCTGCCATGCTATGGCCAGGGATTAATCTTGTGGACTATACCAGTTGGATGGCCTTGTCTTCTGGGTTCTGACTGGGCTTGGTACTAATGGGAGGCACTGGCCAATCAAGAGTGGGAGAGGCTGGGGAGATGGCTCAGTAGGATAAGTGCTTGACTGGCAAAAGCAAGGATCTGAGTTCAATCCCTGGTTCCGCCAAAAAAAAAAAAAAAAAAAAAAGAAAAAGAAAAAAAAAGAGTGGGAGGAAAGGAAGCTCCAGTATTTCTTTTTCACTCTCTTCTCTGGGTTGGGCTTCCTTTCTGGCACTGACTAGAGTTTTCCCTGATTACCACTCCTACTGGAGACTTCTCCACCATGCCACCTCTTACCGAGCAGTGGTAACACTGCTTTTACCCCTCCAGACCAAGTGTGTAATGGCTTCCTGCTGTTCCTTGATCTGGGGTGCTTCACTATCTCTTGCCAATACTCTTAATTGTGAGCAAACTTTTGGATGGTATCAATCTCTTACAAACACAAACCAGAATAACCTCCACCTGTCCAGTTTCCACTGAATATTAGCTGTCTGGTTGTGTGTATGAGAGGAAAGCAGTGACTCTTATGCGAAAAACATTGTAGGACTAGGTGAGTAGGAGGTTTTACAAACCAATTTTGTTGGCAATGAGGAACTATTTACATTTGTTGACCTAATGAATAAATGATGCCATAAGTAGTAACTACCATTTATTCAACATTTTTATATGCCAGATACTTTTACTTCATTATCTTGTTAAATCCTCACAACTCTTGAAGATGAACATTTATTCATTTCAACTTCACAAGTTAAAAAAAGAAACACCTCAGGTAGAGAGAGAACAGAAGTTGCTTGCCAACTTTATCACTAGTAAATGGAAGTGGAAGGACTTAGAGCTTGGCTGTTTCATTATATCCACTTAGATGGTGAATTGGTCTACATGACCCATAGAGTATCTTTCAGCCCTAGGATTATATAACATATGTTGGGTAAACAGACAACTTCAGCTAACCCCACTGGCTCATTTATTAAGTAAAGGTGCTGGTGGTGGACTTAGGACCACAGGAATCCTTTCTATCTGCAGCGATATGAGACTTCTTTGCTCCACAAAATGTCATCTTTTCTAGCAAATGTACCTCATGCAGACCATGTCTTCCCTTACACTAGATGGACACAAAACCCTATGGCTAATTCTGATAGAACACTATCTTCAGAAATGCCAGTTTCATTGGCTCCTCTGATAAAAATCTGGGTTTCTAGTAGGAGTAAATGTCACTATAGTGCTAACCAATACTCACTGGGCACAAATGCAGGGTGGGTTGATTTAATTAGTGAATATAGATACCAAATCAAAGTTTGATGTCAAGCTTCAGGAAAATGAATAGAGGAATCAACTTTGAATACCTTCTCTAGGTTAGGTAGTTTCCACTAACTCTTCATTACAAATCTGAGGGTCTTGTGTTATGCTACAAGTGAAGAAACTAAGTCATGGGGGGGGTTAACCAACTTGCCTGGATATAACTAGCAAGTGTCACAACAAGCACTGGAATTCAGGTTATGCCAGACTACCAGAACACATATTCTTTGTTCTCATACTATGTGGGGAGTGTAACATAGCAGTTAAAAGCTCAGAGTTGGATGCTTGTGCTTGAATCCTGGCTCTACCATTTCTCAGCTATAAGACTTGGGGAAAAAAAAAAAGACTTGGGGGAGGACATTTATTTTGTCTTTTTCAGTTTCTTCATCCTTGTAGTGATAATGATAATAATGCCTACTTCATAGAATTACTGTGAAGATAAAATGCATTCATATTTTTAAATTACAGAGAAGAGTGGCTAACAGAGTACCACATATTTGTTGGTTCCTCTGATAAAAATCTGGCCTCTGATAAAAAACTAAAGTGGAGCCATTTCCACCCCTTCAACATATAATACTCCACAGATTTACAGAGCAAAAGAAAGGAAGTAGCTCAAGAAGTATCTTCTTAAAAGGAAATCAGTGTCTCCGCCAGGGTTGGAAGAAGACTCAGGCTATTGATTGCATTGGAGATAACAGAACAACTTGGAGAGTGAGGCATATATAAAATGTATGCAATATGTGTGGCAGGTGATAGCAATATTTTCATCCAATTACCATCTTAAATATAGTGCCAGATCCACTGGGAATGTCCAAGAATCAAGGCCTCTCCCACTTGAAGCTTTGTAGACAACAGATATTCAATAGTATTTGTTTCTTTTCTTTGGTCTCAGAGGACTATAACTTCATTGCAAGTCCTCTTTTGACCCTCAAGGCCATGAATTCTAAAAACACAACTCATGCAAAGGCTATAGATCTGATTCTCACATCTTATTCCTTTATGATCAAAGCTGAGTTTCCTCACCTGTCTTTTTCACAGTGGGAATGGCTTACTTGACAGCTATGCTTTTCTGCACAACTCTAAATCAATTTAAAGGAGTTTTAGACACATTTCTTTTTTTATGTATTTAGTACAGGGTCTACAGGGTCTCACTACACAGATCAGACTTATAGTGATCCTCCTGTTTTCCACCTCCCAAGTGCTGGGATTACAGGCACATACCACCATGCCCAGTCTCAATCAATGTCTCAGTACACCCTGGGGATGAGGTCAGCATGGCACATGGGGTCAAACCCTGATTCCTGTGTCTGCTAAGCAGGTGCTTTAATCCGCTTAGCTATCAGGCCAGCCCTTAGATGTATTACTTGAGGCTTTTTCTAATGCCTTTTTCACTTTAGAGAAAATGTGATTTCTTGTTGGGTATAAATACACCTTAGACAGGGAAGAGTCTAGGTTAAATGTGAAATTGGTCAGCAGCAGGACAGTACTTCTCTCATCTAAGATCTACCCATCTGCTTTGTGACTGCCCTTAAAGGAACATCATAGCACAACTGCAATGAAAACAGCAGGAAAAGATATAGTAGAAAAGAGTACTAATGCAGTGTGGGCGAGATATCTACTTCCCACAATAGCAGGAGGGATGCTCAGGAGGGTAAATATACCAGGGCCACACCATCAGGAGCTGCACTATCAAATGAAGCCCTTGTCAGACACCAAAACCTGGAAGTCTTCAAGGTCTCATTGTTGGAAAATGCACAGGGAAGAGTAATAGGCCTGGGTTATTGTCATGATTTCCTCCAAGATAGAACAAGGGCAGAAGGGAACAAATGATGCATGGGAATTTAGGTAGCAAAATAGGGGTCAGGATGGCTAGTCTTGAGGCCAAGGGACATTTTTTTGAGAGGCAGATTACATCCCACGGAGAAATCCACGAATTTGATAGTATTTGTCATTCAGGAAGATCTTTTTTTTTTCAGGAAGGTTGTGCAGTAGAGTTTAGCATTTCTGCCCTGGGTAGATATACAGAAGATTCTACTCCTGGATAGTAACAGAGGCAACTGTCACCACTACCTCTGCTACTGTCGCCATTGGTTAATATTAACTGAGCACTTATTAATGGCCAACCATGGATACTTGGGTGGACTAACTCATCCATATCGGTATAGCTTCAAGTGGCAAAGTGGGTATAAATTTCCACAGTTTATCCCCAAACCTTTTTCTTATCCATGGAAATACAGATGAACATCAGGGAAGAGGAGGAAAGTTATGCTCTATGGATTAAAGCATAAATGCACATAATAATGGTGCTTGCATTCCTTTAGGTGTTGGAGGTTGGAGGCCAGTGTCTGGTTAGCAGTGCCTAGCAAAGAAGACCAAGGCAGCAACAGAGGAAATCCGTTTAAACTCTAGCTTTCATGCCCGGAGGGAAAGACAATTCTAAATTGAGCATGTTAGTAGGGATAAGAAAGAGGTGAGGGACTGTCAGCATCTAGGGTGTCTATGCCTCACCTGTCTCACATTCTGATGGTTCAGGGAACTATACTGGGGTGGCACCTGCCAACATTATGGGATCTGGGTGGGAGTAGCTGAGGAAGTAGTAAAATCTAGAGTAATAAATCCAAAGCTGATTGCACTAGTGAAAAGTCAGTTCCCACAGGCATGCCAATGACTGAGAAAAGGCAGGCACAGAGAAGGACATGTTATAGTTTTGCTCTCCAGAACCAGAAAGTCTTCCTTTTTAGTCTTACTTCCAAGTATCACTTTTGGGAATTCTGACGGCCAGGGTATTTAGATTTTACTGAAATTCAGAGAAATTTCAATGCATGCAGTTTGCATCTGGACTGTCCCTCAAATGGCCATTAGGCTAAAGGGTTGGTCCCCAGCTTGGTACTATTGGAAAGTGGTGGAACCTTTACTAGGTGAGACCTAGTGGGACATCTTCAAGTCCTTGGGCATGTAGCCTTGTAGGGGACACTGGGACCCCAACCCCCCTTCTTCTTTTGCTTCCTGAACATGGCTGTTTTTGCTTTACTATATGCTCCTACTATGCTGTACTGCCTTAACCAAACTAGCATGGACAATCAACCATGGACTTAAAACTCTTAAAATTGTGAGCTAGAAACCCTTTTTCTCTTTATAAATTCATTATCTCAGGTATTTGTTGTATTTTTTTATTTTTTGCAGTACTGGGGCTTGAACTCAGGACCCTGCACTTGCCAGGCAGGCGTTCATTCTACTGAGCTATCTCCCTGGTCCCTTCAGGTATTTGTTGTAGCAACAGAAAGTTGACACACATACAAAAATATGAAGATCCCAAGTCACACGGGAGGCCCTCAAGTGGAAGAACTACTCCATATAGCACATTCTTGGAGCTGTTCCATTTTCATCCCATTTGTCTGAGCTGGTAAGTCTCATAGCCTCTGTAAAAAAAAGGAATGGCTTCTTCATTCTGTATCTCATTGACTCCATAAAGCCTAGATGTTTCTAAAGTTAACAAAAATCCTCCAGTAAGCTCAGCTGTTCTGATTTGTGATGTCAGAACATTAAATCATTGGGGACAAGCTGAGAGGATCAAAAATATAAGGAACTTTTAAATCAAATTTGCCTCAATCTCTTCTAGAATTTTTCCAAGATAGTGGTTTAGGATTTTCTTGGGGAATTAAGTAAAAAAAAAAAAATGGTCTGGATTTGAATCCGGAACTATTTCTTGGCTGTGAGAACTTGAAAAAAATTATATAATGCTATGTGCCTGCTTTCTCATCTACCAAATAGAGCTAATACCAGGATGTGCCATAAGGAACTGTTATTCATTCAGCAAACCCATAAAAAGTGCTTAGAAATACATTTTTCATGTAGTAGACATAGTATAAGTGCTGCTTCTAAAGGCCAAGTAATATGACCATGGGAAGTATACTTCTTATTTTGGATTTTTGTGGAAAATACTTCTGCCCATCCTCCTAGGGGTAGACTGAAACTGGTTAATGAACTACTTACCAGCATCAAGACGTCATCTTGGAAAACCATCATCTCCCAGAATCCCCATTGTACTCTTGCTACCACTTCCTCTGGTGTGTTGCCCAACAGCTCTTATGTGTATTTCAATATAGGAGAGGTTCAACAACCCCAATAGTTCTGGCTGCCAATGAGGTAGCATGTGATGTGTTATTTTATTCCTTTTGAGGATTAATCTGCTGATAACCATGTATCTTTTTAATGAAAGTTGGGCTTTTGTAGCAACTACTTCATGATTGTAAGCCTCCATTACAACTCCTAAGGAAAATCCACATCCTGATTCCCCACAACTGTGAGTACATGGCAAGGGATTGTTAAACAAGTGATTGAAGTGTTAACTTCAAGATAGACCAAAAAGATGGTGACACAATCCAGGATTATTTGAGTGGGCCCAATGAAATCACTCCAGTTGTGGGTTAAACCATAAATAGCAGTCAGAAAAGGAAACCAAGTGAAGCAAAGGTGAAGCAAAAGAATCTGACACACTGTTGCTGACTTGAATATGAAAGGAGACACACATCCATAAAGAGAGAACCTCAGGGCCGCAACATAAAAAAGGAATTCTCCCAACCACCACTGAGGTAGGAAGAGAAGCCTGAGGTTCTATGGTCTACGGCAACCATAGGCCATCAGACTTTGCCTTTAGCTCAGTGAGAACCTATGCAGAGATGTAGCCATGCTATCACAAACTTGTGATCTATAACAACTGTGAGATAACATAAATGTTATTTTAAATTGCTACATTTGTGATTTCTTTTAACAATAGAAGCTTAATGCCTTTCTGTGGGGATTCCACTTGTGCCTGTCATATGGGGAGAAAATATTTTTGTCTTTCTTCTTTATTTATTTTTGGCAGAACCAGGGATTGAACTCAAGACCCTTGCGCTTGCCAGGGAAGTGCTTATTCTACTGAGCCATCTCCCTAGCCCCTGTCTTTCTTATCTTATGCGGGCTGAGGACAAAATGATTTAAGGAACCTAAGAGTGTTCTGCAAAATTTCAAGTCAAAAAAGGTGAGATGCTCCAACAGAAAATATACATACATTTAGAAGCAACTAAATTGAAGCAATTAAGAACTTAGAGCCTATTATATTTCCCATGAGAAGAACTCAGCATTTGAAGGGCTGTTTCTCCCCTGGAGAAGTAGTAGAGCAAAAGAGAAACCAGACAACTTAAGAGTTTACTCTATCTGCTGCCTATAAGAGAGAGCGAGACAGGGAGGGAGAGAGACAGAGACAGAGACAGAGACAGAGAGACAGAGAGACAGAGACAGAGAGACAGAGAGAGACAGAGACAGAGACAGACAGACAGACAAAGGGACTCATTTAACATTTCAGGATGCCAGTGACAAAGCTTAGTGAGAACCCATGTGAGAATCCATGAAGCTCTGGAAAGAGTTCTTTTCAACTGGCCCTTGTTGCCTTTCCACTATCTGAAAGCCAAGTCACTTTCTGCTTTACTCCCTAGGCTGGTTTCATTACTGAGGTGAAGAAGCTTCACTTTTACCAAATCACAAGGACATGTTCCAAACAACACAAGAAGCAGGCAGCTATGTACTCAAATGTTTGCAACCACTCTCAACTTACAAGATCAGCCTTATTTAGTGCTTCTCAAAATTCAATGTACATAGCAGTCTCTTGGAGATCTTAAAATAAAGTCTGATTGTAGATGTGCATGGTAGATCCTGAGAAAGTTCATTTCTAAGAGGCTGCCAGGTAATGCTGATGCTAAGATCACATTTTGAGTAACAGACATTTTCATCAAATAGCAGACTGAACTTCTTAGATCCAAAAAGAATTCTGTGCCCAGGTTGCCTGAGATTTGTGAAAGATAATGTGAGCAGTAGAAGCTGTGTGATCGGTCCTGATATACTCATAAACTATTTCCATGATAAAACTGCACATGAAGGCCATTTATACTAGACACTCAGTATACTTTATTGAAAGTCACATGAATGGGACCTAGCATAGCATTTTTTTTCTAATTTTACAAGTTTCACATAGGCAGTCTTTTTTTTTTCTCCATTAATGTCCTTGGTTGGCATCATGTGCTTCATTTTTCAATTCAAATGAAGACTTTGCTTCATTAAAAATATCTCAAGTTATCTTGTTTCACTCTGCAACTTTTTGTTCCTGAAGCTTTTGGCAGACTTCTAATGTGTCAAGGCCACTTGACTATTGCTACTTTAATAGTAGCATCATTGATCTATATTTTCTCAAAAGGCAAAATTTTTTCTAGTCACAGAACTAGTCATCTATTCTTTTATTTGTTCTAGTTATTATGGAATCAAGGAACTTCTTGAAAATGAAAGGCTACCTGCCCATGACAGTATTTTAGAAATACTTCACATGAAAGTATTTTAATCTTGAAACTAGATGTCCAGTTTTGGCTCTCAGCTGACATCCTTGACATACCTTTAAACCTAAAAAATAAAAATTCATTATTTTTTACATCATCTCATGACATTTGTTGTCATTACAGAAAAACTTTGTAGAGCTATGATTCCAAGTCATCAAATAGCAGAGGCACAGAAACGTTTTCTGAGTCTTAAACTGCACTGGGGGGGGGGGCGGTGTCACAAACCTCCTGGACTCAAGCTGTACATGCTATAACCTGGCAAAGTATTTACAAAGTACAGAGACACTTATAAGACCTTTCCACTTTGAAAACTGGGCAAACTTTTTAGAAAATTGTTACCAAATAGGGAAACTGAAGATGAAGAGGAAGCCCAACTTTGGAATATCCTTCAGCCAGTTTTCATTCTCCTGTAAGGACTTACATCTCCTTCTTCTCTTAAATGCTTACCATTTAATATTATGTTAAGCAAGCAAGAGTCATGCCAGATCCAGTAATAGGGCCTCTGTCCAAACGCCTACCTCGCTGTGCAAACGGAAAACAGTGTGGGGTACAGCATCAGATTCTTGGATCCAAATCATAGTTCTAATGTTTACTATCCACGTACCTTTGTGTGTGTTATTTAAGCCCACTGGGCCATCATTCCTTTATTCATAAAATGAGATGATTACTTGTGTTGTTACAAGAATGAAATAAGATAATGTATGTGAAGCATCTAGCACTTAGGAGGTATTTAATAAGTGTTAGCTTCTTTCTTATCACTGCCAGTTCAAGAGCTATAGTGTACTCACTTTCAGTTTCTCTAATCTACTAGCCAAGGTCACCAATAATTTCCTATAGCAGCCACTATGTGAATTATCACTGTCTTGCTATAACCTACTCTGAATGACCATCCATGAAGTCTAGGCCAAGGCAATCTCATCCCCAAATAGCCTGCCTCTGCTTAGAAGCTTTTGCTCTTTAAATCAGAGTGCCAGTGCGATATATCCTTTAGAGATTGCCCAAAGTAGGGGCAGAGCTCCCCAGTCCCTGTTCTCTGGCTTTCAGTGAGAGTGGCGGACCAATCTCTCCAGGCTAGCTGTGTTCTGGGCAACAAAACAATCTCTTTGCCAAATTTCTATATACCTCTTCCACTGGGACGACAGTACCTTTGTATGTCTTTCAAGGATACTCCAGTATTTGTAGTGGTGATTTTGCTATTTTACCCCAAGAAAAACCAAAGTCAAACCATGTCTCTACAATCTTCAAAGGTATTAAGGTTCCACTGGCCACTGCTTTTGTGGCCAATTTCTGCACACCTAACTACTTTGATTAGTCATAACATGCTACCAACTAGCGCTCACAAGAGGCCAGCAAGTCTCAAAGAGACTAGCTTTGGGGCTAAGCAGCAGGTGCAGTGATGGCTACTTGGCTCTCTTGATCTGATTTCTTAAGAACATCGCCTTTGAGACAACATAGAAAGAGTTCATTGTGGCCATGTGGGTGTGTCTTCACTTAAAATGCTATCGTCTCTACTTAATTACATTCACAGAGGCTTTCACTGTGTTTGGATATCTGAACTAACTCATCAATAAAATATTTTTGGAGTCCAGTCTTAAAAGTGACTACCACTTTTCAGTGGCACTGTCCCAAAGGCATGTAGGTTTGAACATATGTGCTTCTTCCTCCCCTTCATCAAATGAATTAGCAGGGCCCTGTTACAACACAGCAAGATGGACAGTCCTTTCTCTGACACTGGACCACATTACAATTACATAAGCCCTACAGAGAAACGATGGCCCATGCATGTAAAGGGAATGAAAACTTTGAACTCTTCATAGCAGCTTCTCTTTAACAAACAGGATCCAGAACGGTCTATACCTCAATTTCTGATCCACTGCACTGATTTTTATTTAGTTCCCTTCCAGTGATTCAGATAGCAAATATAAACTGGTAGCAAATATATGGGGAACAATAAAATGGTAAATCCAAACCCCCAAAATAATGACCATAAGAGTCACCAAACATGAAGAGCTTTGCTATGCTAAGTGCAGTGTAACAGAAACAATCTTGTTTAGGAGCCTAGCCAACTGGAAACTTGTTTTGCTGTGGCCACTAACTTTCTTCTGCCAATAAGCTAGGCTAGCAGATGAAATGCTTTTGAAAGGCCATTCTAATGAAGTACTTCATGGGTACCAAAAAGAATTTTTTTTTATCACAGAGATTGTGGTTCTGAACATTTATGGGTCACAGGCTCAGTGGAAATTCTTCTGCCCAGAAAAGGCATACTGTCATGGAATTAGGCATAGCATCTCAGGGGCATATGGAATTCTTTTTTTTTTTTATTACATTTATTTATTGTGTGTGTGTGTGGCCAGCTCAGCCCACCAGGGGGCAGGGCTGGCTGGCATGTGGTGCTGGGGGATTGAACCGCGGTCCCTGTGTTTGGGCATATGGAATTCTTAAATTCATGGGCACTGGGTTAAGAATTGTTTTAAGAAGATAAAACAAGCTTATCAGCAGAAGACAAAAGTAAAACAAAAGCAAGAGCTGCTTCATCTCAAAACATTTTAACATTTTTTTCTAGCATTTGACTCAAAAACAGAATTTTCAGAGGACAAAGTCTGCTTTCTTTAAAGAAGTATTTTCCAATTTTGTTTTTGGTTGTTACTCATAATTGCTTAGAAAGGAAACTGTCAGGTGAAGGCGAAGGTGAGAGGAACAGTAATAGACTAGATTTTGATACGCAAAATACGCTTTGCAGATCGGTCCTAGGTGGCTGTATGCAAGAGCAGGTAGGGAGGAGGATCCTACAGGGGCATCGCTCATGCCTTCTAATCCCACAGGAGAAGACAGGTTCTTGGCAACATGTGCCAGCATCAAAACACCAACCTGGCACCAGTGTCCATATTCTAAATAAGACACAAATTAAAATTCTCCAATGTTCAGCAACCATTCTTGCACCCCTCCAACCAAGGTAAGCAATGACCCCAACTCAAGTGGCCTTTAGTGAGTGAAAGACCCCTGAGGTGGAGCTTTATCTCTGACTCTTTCCAAGTCCAATGGCCTTTTGAGCAAGCAGGAAGTTCAGAAAGAGTTGAAAATTAAGCTTCCCTCTTCAACTCATCAGTGGATATCTTGGTTTTGGCAGAAAGTCCAGTCCTTTCACAGTGTTACAGGAGCTCAAGATAGACTTGTTAGGGGATAACAACAGAATATAAAGGGGAAATAAACATGTGTCTAAGACAGTGGCCCTTATTTTATGAATTCCCAGAGCCTGAAGGTGACGGGCCAGGAAGGAGCTGCTCTTCAACACAGAATGATTCAGCAAGCAACCTGGAAAGTGTCCCCGAGGTGAAGGCTTTTAAAATCTAAAAGGGAAAGAAAAGAGTATGGAATTAGCATGACTGGCTAAACACTTAATAGCCACTGAACTATGGAGTCTCTCTTGGTGTGCAGCTAAGCCGACAACTGGTAGCTAATCTTCTGAAGAATAGAGGCTGGCTGGGAAAAGGTCCTTACAGCTCAGATACCATAAAACACTTCTAAGATTGTGCTCCAGTCAAAGCTGAAATTCTATCCTTTGATTTCAACTCTGATTTCAAAAAAGCTCACCAAAGAAAGTACAAGTCTGTGAGATTACTCCTACCTGCATCACGCAATTTTTTCAGCGACCCTACAATATCTCCAATATTCTTTTTACTGGAACTCATCTTTATAGGGGCCAATAAAGAGAAGTGTATTTACCCATGGAGTTCTGAGGACTGGCAGAGAAAGGAAGACAAGGAAAACCAAGGATCACATGGCAAGACAATCTCCAGATACTTCGGTCTCATTTATGTGTACATCAGTCTATATCATATCATAAATCTGATAAGCAATCACAACTCCAAGGTAGAGAAAAGTATTTCTCTGAACTCCAATTCACCTATGACCTTGTCAAATGACTTATTTCCTCTGAACTTCAGCTCAATGATTTGAGTTACAACATATGTTATTCTCTTTACTTCTGGCATGCGATTTGTATGGAACTGGATAATAGATATGAAATCACTCTGCATTAGGCAAATACAAAGGACTGAGGATGAAGGTGCAGGTAGTTATAACTGAAATAGCTATATGGTTTGAAGGGGTGAGGTTCTTCTACAGATACTGAGGTATCCTCTTGATCTGTTATAATGCCAAAAAGGAAGTTACTGGTTTTCTTATGGATCTAACAGCTGTCAGAATTAGAAGGTTCCAACTACTTATTTTATAGACCAAGAAAATGAAATCTTAGGGGCTGGGGAGATGGCTCAGTAGGGTAAGTGCTTCCCTGGCAAGCATAGGTTCCTGAGTTCAATACCCGGTTCTGCCAGAAAAAAGAAAAGAAAATGAAATTTAGAAAAGCAAATGTACTTGCCTGAAATATCACAGACTAGGATTCCTAATGGATCCAATTCAAAAGCAATCCATACAACTACAACTATAAATTCAGATGGGTAAAGAAGGAAGAAGGTGACTTAAATCACATAAAACCTCAAAAATGAAAGGATTTTACATGTCATCTAATTTTAGAGGTTTTAAGTGACTAAGGCATGGAAATGAGTTCCTACTTTCTGGGTGTACATGTTCCTCAAAAACTCAAATTTCATGAAGAAGGCTTATGAGAAGAAAATTCTGTAATCAGGGTAGAGAATACATACCTGTGGCCTCAACTCTCATCTTCATGAAGTCTACCTTGAGAACTGTGGGCAAAAGAAGAAAGAGATATCAACAAGACTCTAGAACAGAACAGGAAAGGCAAAGAAGGAGATGGGGAGGCCCTCTAGGTGAATGTCAAACAAATCATTTGAAAATTGTGAAAGTGATTCATCCAGATGTTTTAGAGCATATTTACAGTTGGCCAACTTCTCAGCGGATTTAGGGAGCCCAGTGCCTTACACACAAAGGTACCTTTCAAGTGTCAGAATATTCCTTCAAGAACTAGGCTATGGGAGGATAGGAGAGCCTAGAAAATTTGCCCAAGATCACAGACTCCATTCTGTGATCATCTTTAATAGTGAGATGGGCAAGAGGGCCAGGCATGTACCATGTAAATGATGATTTCTTCTTTGTCTTGAAGACCAAACCAGCCTTACCCAGCCTCTTCAGGTGTTTAGATTAACCCCAAATTACACTTGTCTAGGGACAACTGTAAGGAAGAAACAATCCTGGAGAATAAATTCTCCTATAGTGTAAATAAATCCCCACAAGAGCTGGCCTCTACAGCCATGTCTTTGGTCTTCAGCTTTTCTAGTCTCTGGAAAATGTTTGTACCTATTAGCTGAACGATCTTATCTTGCCCATTATTTCAAATATCACCAAATATTAGGGGCCTTCTCCAAAGTGCTACTATTTATTCTCTTACTGTAGTATATTTGGATGTTCCTCACTGGAGTTACACGGTAGCTGTCCTCAACAGTTTTACCACATACATCTATGTAGGTCCTGTCTCAACTTCCCGCCTAAATTACAACTACACGATGGAGAGTTCTCCTTGGATGGTCCATAATGTCTTGAAAATCACTGTGTAAAATCCAGTACAGCAGATTTCTCATGAAACAGTACAGAGTACATTTCAGTCACAGGACAGCTTATGCAACACAGTTTCAGAAGTGATCAGTGTTCCACTTTGGCTAGAACATCTGAGCAGTAGAGTGAGGGTAGGCTGAAGTAGCACCAGGAGAATGGATTGGAGTCTGATCAAGAAAAAGTTATACAACGTTTTAAAATGCTTTCCATAAAATCGGGTCTTGTATGCTTATTGTTACTAATATTTAACTGCCCATGACACTCTTTTTTCTTTCTCAGTCCTTCTACAATACTCCACATTTGAAAAGTCATCAGGGCCCCACTGACTCTATATCAAACTTGTCCTTTCTACTGCATTTCCAGTGCCATTGCCACAGGCCAAGACTTCCTCAACTCTTGTCAGGATGATCAGCTTCCTTATTGTTTTTTCCCACCTGCAGTTGTTATTCTCCCATGTGTCTTCTCCATTACCACCAGAGAAATCTATACATAACACAGTTATTTCAGAATATGCATTGTCATATTTAACCATCATCTATGACCCCCTCTCAAACCAACTACAGTATAAAAACCAAACACTTTAATATATTGTACAAGATCGTCACGATCTGACCTCAGTCTATTTTCCTGGTCATACCTTGAGCCTACCTTCCCACTACTTGCTCAAATGTTCTAGACAAAATGGACACTAACCACATCTCAACCCATGTTGCTTAAGCTGTTCTGTAACTGCGGAATGCCTCCTGTACACGTCTAATCTTGATGAGCTTCTAGTTGTTTCTTATGATCTCCGATATTATTTTTTAGCTTATTTTATTTTATTTTTTTGGTGGAACCAGGAATTGAACTCAGGCCCTTGCACTTGCCAGGCAAGCGCTCATTCTACTGAGCTATCTCCCCACCTCCTTAGCTTTTATTTTTTAAAAAAAAAATTATTGGTACTATAGTGACATATGTGCACTCATGTTTATAGCAGCACAATTTGTCATAAGCTAAATCTTGGAAATAACCCAAATGCCCATCAAATGAGGAAACAGATAAAAAAGATGTGATATTTTTATACAACAGAGTATTACTCAGCTATAAAAAAGGATAAACTCGAAGCTTTAAAAGGTAAATGGATACAACTACAGACCATACACATAAAGAGAAATAAATCACAGCCCCATGTATAAACATCATACAGTCTCCCTACTGTAAGAACCTGCAAGACTAAATAAAATCCAAAGGGTATATTAAATACTGTGAAAGAGAAAGAAACTGTTTAAAGGGAAGGAACAACTAGGATGAGGACAGCTTGGATAATCATACTACTGATTTTTGCTGGCGTATTAAAAAGACCAGTTACTACTTAATTTTCTCTCTCCTGTTTAATTTTTATAATTTTTCAAACCAATTTTGCATGCTTGCACCTGGTAATCTGAACAACTAATTGGAAGACAATAATATGTAATACAACAACCATTAGTGAATTCCTATCATTTTATTTAGTGAAATTTTCTATCGTTTCTTTTTTTTTTTTTTACTAATTTTTATTCTCTTAAAAAAAAGAAGATACCAGCCAAAAGTGCCTTGAAGGCATTCGAGGAGAAAAAAAAAATCCAAAAAAAAGAAGATATACAGCTGTCAGCCCTTGAGGGGTCTCCAGGGTGTTTTGCTTTAATATCGTATCAGTACCCTATGCTTTTGACCTTGTAATATCAGTTGGCTGACATTCCCTTTAGCTGGATGAATCATTTATAATCTCTGAGTAGTATAAAAACTGACAGTACTATTATGTAACTTGTGCTTAAATATAACATTATGTTTTCCTGGTAAAAATTATTGGTACTTATTTGTAGTACATTATGGTTCCATTCATCATGAAGAGTTGGTGCATGTACACGACATTTAACAACGGCAGAGCAGTGAGTATTTTTTAATTCATTTTATTGAGAAAAAAATAGCAATGAAACAGTTTCAAAACAGGTTAGTAGGACAGTTACAATAATTAATACATTGCATATTGTTGTCTTCCTAGTAGTTATTTAGAGGACAAGATGCAGACATGATCTCTTGTCTACACAATGTTAGTACAAACCTTTCTTCTCAATGAACTAAGAGAAAGTAGCTATATATCTATCCTATCTTGTGTATACATATATATTTTTTTCTTTTTTTTCACAACAAACTGGTCCTTTATTTACACTGCTGCAAAGTTAGTAACACGTGACACAAGGTTGCCTAGCGACTAATAGCTGATCCTAGCCAGACAGGCTGTTTATCTCATGACTGAGGTAGATTGTTTGCTTCAGGCACTGAGGCCTAGTCCCACCTACACACATATGATGAATTTCCTAGCCTCTCCGTGGTTCCCAACATATCCCCCTTTTTTGTTTTGTTTTGTTTTGTCAGAGATGGGTGTTTCACTGCTGTTAGAGAAGCTGTATTTGGAGAAGTCTTTTTTTTGGGGGGGAAGTCTTTAAAGGACCTTTTCATACTTGATATTAGTCCAAAGATTTTAGGCACTTGAATTCAGCAAAGTAACCCAATATAATCCAATAGTCCATAATAGTAGTGGGTTATCAGCAGAACTGGCAGTGTCAGAAGTTGTTGGCTTGATGCTTTTACAGCTCAGCATATTAATATGGCATTACTTTTTACACCTCATGTTTATACTTTTCTGCTGGATGGTTAAGACCAAGTTAAAGCAAGACCTATATAAATAAAAATGTAACTTTTATATCTGACAAGGTCAGTCAAATCCCCTCAGGATTTACCCTGAAACCATGTACAGCAGTCTGTAGATCCTTTGTCAGTGTCAGCCATCTGGATGAGTGGCGACCTTTGCTTGACCAGTTAGAGCAGTGAGTTTTTACTCTTTTTTTAGTTAAAATTTGCTATAAAAAATAAACAAAAATAAAATAAAATTTGCCATAGAAGGGACTAGAATGAGAGAGTGGTGTTATTCAACTGTCATTCTACCATTAGGTATGTAAATGGGAAGAAAAAGGACAAAAGTAATAGTTCTGTTTGTTCTCATTTTCATCACAGATGGGCGATAAGGCTGGCCACAATGACTGGACAGGACTGAGAGTTGAACAGTTTGAGAACCTTGCTCAGTGGTCTGTATGTATGTGCACTGATGGAAGTGATGGTTACGTGGTGGAGGCCTACATAAACCAAATGCTTTCCCTAAGTGGATGCTACGTAGGAAGAATCTATGGCAACATGGTTTGGTAGCTCATGACAGTTTAACCACTCAAATCTTACCTACACCCCTTACAACCTGCAATCTGGGGATAAAGAACAGGATCAATTGTAGGTTCTAAAAATGTGATGGTGAACTTTTTAGAGCTTTCTTTTTGTTGTTGTTTGTTTTTTGTGGTACCAGGGATTGAATTCAGGACTTTGTGCTTGGCGCTTATTCTACTGAACTATCTGCCCAGCCTAGAGCTTTCAATAATACAAACAGCCCCCTGAAATATATATGTCATAGGTTTGCCTCCACTGCCCTAGAAGCTAGGATATAAGGTTCATACAGTGCCATGTTAGTCTAAAGTGCCTGCTTTGGCCATAGTCTGTTGTGGTTGGTGTAAGGATTCCATGTGCTTTGGATAATAAAGTCCACCCCACTGGCAGAGCTCCTAATCTTGACACATATGTAACACTGGTTTGGCTACAGATTCACTACTAGAAATTTGCCTGCTCTAAAGACTGTACTGCACAAGTTCATGACTTTTTCATATTCTCTACTCCATGCACTGGTTCTTAATTCAGGGTTACAGATCCATCCCTTATAATTTTCTGTGTATTTCTACTTACTTTTCAAACCCTAGCCCAAATATCATCTCTTTTAATTTCTTTTCCTTTATGCATGCCCAATTCACTTTGTTGATTCTAGTTTGTTTCATTCAATTTTATTGGTATTTATTTTTCAAATGACTTATCCTAGGGAAGGAAGACCACTATGTAGTCCTGCGTCTAGCTGCATGCCTTACTAAGAACATTCAGTTGACCCATGCTTACTTGCTCTGCCACTTTTATCTTCCTTTTCTTTCCCTTCTTTCATTCTCCAAGTAGAGTTTGATTAAGTCTGCTTTCAAAACCTCCTAGGTGAAAATGTTTATCTTTATGTTATTGCGAAGAGAAATCTGACACCTTGATGTTAAACCAAATTATTTTTTAAGATGAGTTTATCCCAGCATACAGCTCCCCATAGCTCACTGTGAAATAGCAGTAAGGTAACCTGCTGTGTATAATCAAACATGGTTAAGTTAAGTCCTTCAGTTTTGAATAGAGGTTGTCAAACCTATCCCAACTATGCTGTTGAAAAAGGCACATTGTTCTGCTTTTAACTTATCATCTAGAAGAGTTACATTCCTGTTACTTGTTAGAAAGCACAATTTCAAACTCTGATTAGTAATAGCACAAACTCACAGAAGATACCCTGAAGGCTAAGTGAGTAATCATTTTTCCACATGTTCTAGTTCAAAGGGTCCCAAATGTCTTGGCCTGGACAGTCTGTACCAGTACTTGAGAAGTTTTAAGACAGATGTTAAAAAGGAAGGAACAGAAGGAAGAAGGGAGGTAAGAAACAGGAAAAGAGGGAAGAGGGAAGGGATAAAATAAGCAACATATTATTCCTAGGCTTTCTTCTTAAGAGATTCTTTATCAGTAGGTCTGCAGTGGAAGCCAGTAATCTGCGATTTCTTTCCTCCAAGTTTTCTTGGAAATTAACACATGCAGCTAATGTGACATGTAGACACTGTCTGTGTCTACTTTTTACCTTTGAAATGGAAGCCATGTTTACTCTGAGTGTGTTTATAGTATAACGATGTATTCTACATGTCCCTATCAGCTTTTGTTTGCAAATGGAGTCTAGAGACTTCCTGGAAGATGGTAGAATGGTAACCAGCAGAGAAAGAGCCTCTTTGAGATTTGCTGTCCAGACACTAGACTCTAACAACTTGAGGAAAAGAAGGAGAAAAACAGGTCCCCTGGATGCTAGAAGGATATGCAAGGATAATGGAAGCCCATGGGGAGAGTAAAAAAAACTTTAATGAAGCAAAAGGACATGGCTGTCAGAACCTTCTCCCTGCTTCGGGACTCACTGCATGGGAAGACCAGTTCAAACCTGGAAACACACAGTAACTTCTTGCAACCTCAGAGGCCTTCATAGAGAGACACAGCATTGAACATGAAGGCCTGCGTTGGCTGGTGGTGAATGGTATGGAGTCAGATATCTCATTAGAGAGGGTGACTGGCCCAGAGCCATCTTGGAGTGGAGGCAACTGACTTGGAACTCAGAACTAATGCTGGCTCCATCTAGTGGGTCCCAGCTGAGTTCAAGCCCACAGAAAGTACACTGCTTCAGGCTGAACACATCTGGTCTCAGCCACATAGCCAACAATCAGCCTGAACTTCAAAGGAAATAAAGGTCCAGGCTTGCTGAGATTGTCCAATACCTACCATAAGCTACTGCTGCCTTAAACCATGGACCTGGACTCTGTACATGCTGACTTACCAATGACAGTAGAAACAAACCTTGAACAGGTGTCTGTCCATCTCTCGTTTTTCCCCCCTTTTCTGTTTTTTCACCTCCATTGTTTGATCTTGCTTTTGTATGAGTGTGAATATGGTTTCCAGCTATTTGTTGTTGCTATTTTGTTCTTCCTTTAATTTCTTCATTCTATTTTTCCTCCTAACGTCTGCACGAGTTTCCCAAAGTTTGCATGATCCTCCTTTGTCCTCCAGCCTTGCTTCTAATCTCTTCCTCTTCTTCTATTTCTGCATTTTCCTCCTAATCACTTTTAAATTTTTTCCCTTAGGGTAAAACTGGAACATTGAGAGCTTATTTACTGCAGACAATTTTCTGATTTGTTTTAATTTTGTTATATAAGCATAAATCTAGTTCATAATGGTTAAAGGTGCCAAGTCAATGGCCACTTAAGTTTATCATTTTCTATGCTGTTTTGATAGTACTTTTTTTTTTGCTGACTGTACCACTCTAACCAAAGTGCCATAATTGTTCTAACTATCTGTTCTTCCTGGTATGTCAAGACTGAGATTGACTAAAGGTCATAGAAGATACTGTGGACCACTGCCAAAGAACCAATGGCTTGGTGAAACAGGCAACAACTTCCCATCTTCAGTGAACTGAAGAGGGAGGATTTGTAACAGACTTAAAACTCAAAAACTAGTACACATGGAAGATAACTCTGAGAAGTAGTCATTTGCTAAGGGTTCTAAGTACTAGCAATAAAGTAACTTCCCATAGGCAATTTACAAGCATCAACCCAGGAATTAAACTAAAAGAATCTGAAAATGAAAAGACACAAACAAAATGCTACTCCAGACATCCAGTTCACCAAACTGAGTAATGATGTAGGAAAATCCAAAAGCTACCCAGCTTGTCGCTCTGAAATAGTAAACAACAAAGCAAATGAAGTAGGGATTAGAAAAAATGAAATCATAAATACTTTCTAAGATAACTACAGAGATGGTGATCATAATTAAAAACATTCTTAGTGACTACAGAGCAGATAGAGATTTTAAAAGATAGAGGTGCTTAGGAAAATGATGGAAATCATGAATGGCCAACATAGGAAGGAAAAAGAATCCACAAAACAGATTCAAGCAGATATCCAGGAGACTAAAACTTCCATTAAAAGTATCCATAGCAGAATAAACCAATGTGAAGAAAAACTCTGAGACACAGAAAACAGGCTTGCAGTTAATGAAAAGAAAGATTTCTTAGAACTAGCAAGGGACCATGAGAAATCAATCCAGCAGCTGTAAGATGATGCAAAGAAGAATAACATAAAATTGACTGGAGGTGGTGAAAAAGCAGAAGATAGCATAAATAGTATCAAAAACCTGTTCAAATATGCCATTGCAGAAAACCTCCCTATGAGGGAAAAGGAATTTGACACACAGCAAGGTGAAGCGTATAGAACTCCAAGTAGCCATAATAAAAAAAAGATCTACAGCAAGGCATATTATAGTCAAGATTCCACAAATTCAGTACAAGAATAGAATATTAAAAGCTGTTAGAGAAAAGAAACAAATCACCTATAAATGAAAGCCTTACAGCTGTCTTCTCAATACAAACCCTTAAGTCTAGGAGAGCTTCAAATATTTCAAGCGCTAGAAGAAAACAACCTCCAAACTAGACAGATGTACCAAGCAAAGCGTTCTTTCAAATATGAGATCAAAATAAACAACTTTAAATCTGACCCTCATTGGGTATAAAGTTTTTATAATACAGCTTGGTGTGTCCATGTGTGCATATATGTATATTAGCATGTACAGATGTGCATGTCTGTAAGACAAAGGAACAGAAACAGAAAAAGTAAGAAGCTAGAAATAATATAACAGATATAAAGATAGATTCTAGCAGAGAAAAACAGGAAGAGTGACACAAACAGAAACAAAGATATAAAAACAGAAACAACAGAAGATACCGAGAAAGACACAGACAGTGAAGAAAATGTGAGTGACAGAGAAATAGAGAAACAGAGGAAAAGACCAAGACATAATGAGACAGCAAAAGACAAGAGAGAGAGAAAGTTGGAAGTAGGTGAGACTATGATAATTATAAAGAAACAGAAAAAAAAGACTGATACCCAATGGGAAGCTCATGATGCATTATTAAAAAGTGATTTGATTTCTCTGCTGTTGCTTGCATCCTTACCTTCCTGTTTTCCGGGAAGCTGTTTCAAAGAATCTGGTCCTGGAGGCCACCCTGCAAATAGAAGGCAGTTCAAACTTAAGAGTTGTTCTGGAATATATGTTGCTTTTTTTTTGTTTTTGTTTTGAAGAAACGGGGATTGAACTCAGGTCCTTAAGCTTGCCAGGCAAGTGCTGATTCTACTGAGCTATCTTCCTAGTCCTTGGAATACATGTGAGAGTCAAGGGCAAATAGAAAAAGACAGGAGACTCTATACCAGATGGGTTACCAATGCTAGCTCCTGCCTTTGTTCGTAGAGGGCTTGGGTCTAGGGAGCAATCCAGTATCAGAATGGAAGTGATCCAGAGTCCACAGGCAAAGCCATTAAACAACACCCTTTCCTCTCTGTTGGTTCAGAACTTGGTCTTAAACTTGTTACCCTTTTAGGATTTTCTTCAGAAATAAAGTGAAAATAGTCTGTTTTTGTTTGTTTCAAACTTGTAATTTTTGGCATTTTATAAATATACTTAGATAATTAGTTAAAGCTGCAGAGGCTTTGTTCTCTCCCCAGATCTTAGGATTATGGAAAACAAGAGACACATGAAAAAGAAAGATTAGGAAATACTCGGAAGAGAAAACGTCCCAGTCACTGACTGATGAGAGGTCAGCCAGACTGGTTGCAACCATCAAGGCTGGTCCCTGAGTGCTGATGTGGTCCCATGCTAGTATTCCTTCCCTGATTCCTTGGTTTGCAGCCCAGCCTTAGGAAGGCCTGCCAGATATCACCCTGTGACAAACTCTCTGGAGAACTTGAGTCATTTTGGAAGGTTTTAAAAAAATGTACTCTTTGCTAAAGAAAAGAAAAATCTCAAGCACAAGTACAACGAAAAATGTACTCATTAAACTATTTTAAAACCAATACCAATAACAAGGAAATAAAAAAGAAATTTCCATAACCAAGTGGGCTAAAAAGAGAAAGTTTTTAACACCTTACAGGGCAGCTAAGAAAAATGGGTTTCCTAGCATGTACTAAGATTCTAAGTATTCATCTTTACAGGTTCTTTCAGGCCTTCGTATTGAGTGGAATACTCCCAACAGGCCTGGCCTATGCTAGTCATCCAGATGTTCATGTTAATGATTTCCCAGGGTTGTATACTTAGTAGTCATAGTTAGTGATCTTGAAGGCATTCATGGTCGCCTATGACAGGCCTGAGGTCAAGTTCAAGAACAATTCTACTTACACAGATGATGGAATTTCCCCTGCACTGCCAACCACAATCTCTGGCTTTGGTTCAGGCTTTTGGGGAGTCACTGCCCGGCAAGGAGGGTCTGGGGGCCTCACTGGGGGGCGGATAATGGTTGGCTTTTCCCCTGGAGGCCGCACTTTGCTGAAACTGTCAGCATCCCCTAGAAGACAGAACAACACCAAGGATTTGAATAGTTAGCCAAATGGAACACTACTTGTGAGACAATATTAGAGTTACATGGGTCACCTTCCTTGGCCCCTACTTCTGCTTAGGCATTAACAACTGTCTTTTTCTTTTTGTAATTCTTCTAGTACCTGTTCCTTCAGAAAGTCTATTTCAACCCCAGCTCTGGGAATTCACACACCTTAGGTTTGTCATATAATTTCCTAAATCTCAGGTTCCTTAGTTATATAACCAAGATTCATACTACATTATTAGGGCCGGCCAGATAGCTCAATGGACTAAAGCGCCTGCTCTGGCAGAGCACCATGACCAGGTTCAATCTGGAGTTGGCCGGAGTCCGATCTGTGTGGTGAGACCCTGTATACTCTATACACCCTGTTCTAAATTCATTTAAAAAATACTACATTATGAGACAGAGACATTGAGAGAATTAAAGTAGATAATATGTTTAGTAAATGCCAGACACATAGTAGATACTTAGTGATGGATAATGGATTTTTTTTTTTGGATAATGGATTTTAATTTGATATATGTATCATCACTGAAATCCGAGTCTTCACTTAGGCTTTACTTACCTAACTAACCTTCCTGACTCCAATAGCTCTGGTTTCCAGGTCATTTGGTATAAAACAAACATAAATATTTTTAATAAAATGGTTCTGGGAGAATTATGGTGGAACAGATATACATTGCCAGTAGCCCTTATAGTATTGAATGCTGGGTTTAAACTGGGATGCGGAAGAGAAAAACTGTACATATATAATACAATATAGCTAAGATAATTATACTACTAATTTCTATTAGTTCATTGAAAGGAATTCTTTGTGCTTAAATTGTTTGATCAGTTTTCTATGCTTATGTCTTATAACCTGAGCAACTGCTTTGAAGATAACAATATTCAATATAATAACCATTGTTAATTTCCTATTTATATTGATATTTTTCTTTTTCCATTAAAATAAAAGTCATTTTTAAAAGTGGGTTCATTTTATCTAGTTATGCATCAAGCACTCCAGAACAAGGTGAATAAAATATAAAATCATATTTATGAGCTACTTCATACTTGCTGGTACAGTAATTCTACTGTGATAGACTCAAAGGATTTTACAACAAATAAATAAAGAAAAAGCAATTGGCATGAAAACATGCATCTTAACAGCAAAACATCTGATTTAACCACAAAGGCTAACCAAACAATTTAATTCTTACAAGCACTTAATCAATACATATTATATACTATACATACAATGGCAAGGATTTGGACAAGATCAAAACAAAAGTATACATATGAAAGGAAGCAAAAAAGAGAAAAGTCCACAAAACATGCTTATAGCCTGAAGAATATTAAAATGTACATATGTGCAATCATGGATTAGTAAAACCTGATATTTGTTTGTCTCATCAGATCTTGATAATAATTCAATTTTTTTCTACAAAAATGTTTAAGGTAAACATAAAACATATTAACTGAACTTGCATGATTTTGTTATATAATTTTCTTCAATCATTTCTATGCTTTTTCCTCTCCTTCAAGACTAAAATGCACACAGAACAAAATTCAAGCTCCTAAACATAAATTCAAGGTGGCCCATCAAGTAGCCACAATTCTCTGTCTTTGGGCTTTATCTACCAGCTATACTCTATCAAACTGTTCTCCTCACTCTCCCATCAAAGCAAGCCCCTGACCCTTACTTTTTAATATGCTATACAAAATACAGAGTCTGGTGGTATTGGGGATATAGCTTCTTATTCTACTATTTCCAAACTGTGAGACCCTGGACAGTTACTTCACCTTTTTAACTATCATTACGCCATGAAATGAGCATAAGGATGAACGCAAGAGCTAAATGAGATGGATTCTAGATCATACCTAGCACATAGCAGGGGTAGGTGTCAGATTGTGCGCCACTTCTTTCCCTATGTATGCCCTGATCTCATATCATTTGCATTGTAACCATCACTCAAGACTCAGCTCAAATCTCATTCCCTGAACCTTCTGGCAAACATACGTAATTTCCATCCACTTAAATATTCATGAAGTGCTTAAATATTGGTCTATGTATATGCTTTTCAATTCATGCACATAGCCATTCTGGTAAGACAGATATAAAAAGAGGCAACAATAATACAGTGTGATTGGCCATCTACAGGAGGAATAAACAAAACATTATTCATTCTCATACATGCAAGTTCTGTCTCCCCACTCTGTATCTTACATTTCTGGACATGCCATACCCCTTAGCACTTGTACTGGTATACAGAATCACACCAGAAAAATAATATTCTATTTTTCCAGCAAACTTTATGTACTCTTCAGAAACCAAAGTTCAGAAAGCTAAAGCAACTCACAAGCATGTAATAGAGTGAGGACTGAAACTCATATCTCTGGTTTCCATATCCACCAGTTTCCCCAGTGTCTGCTGTTTTGCTGTTGTTATTATTATTAATACAAAATTACCAATGATTAAAATCAATACGAGCAAATATTTTAGCTATCCTTTTATCAAATATTTTTTTTCTATTCCACATGCTGTAGTATCACACTTATTGCTCTGTGTACATTTTTGTTAGTTAATATTGGCTATAATTCTGGAGAACACACTATTCTTTTTCTACTCCAAGATAAGAAGTAACCTCGGGCCAGAGAGATAGCTCAGTAGAATAAATGCTTGGTTGGCAAGCGCAGGGTCCTGAGTTCAATTCCCAGCACTACAAAAAAAAAAAGAAAGAAAGAAGGAAGAAGAAGGAAGAAGAAGGAAGAAGAAGGAAGAAGGAAGAAG